GTGTATTTAACATAAACAAGGGCCAGCCAGATAGCTCAGTGATTAAAGCAACTGCTTAGGCAGACAGATTGGTGTTTGATCCCCAGCATGCCGTGCCAGTCCTGCCCCCAGGACACTCTGAAATGGTGATTGAGACTGGGCATGGTGGTGAATGCCAGTCATCCCAGATCTTGGGAAGCTGAACACAGGTGGATCACTAAGAGTCTGATCTAAGTAGTGAGACCCTATAGACCCTTACTGAAATACAAAAATAAAATAATAATAAAATAAAACAGAGACCTAGTAGATCAATAGAAAAAGCAAAAAGATGTCAACTGTGCCCTACAGGAAAACAAAACATATGAATGATCAGCGTACACAATACCTGTGTATGGAACACACAGCTGTCATATGCAAAGACTGTCTTGAGTGTGACAATGGAAAAAAAGCTTATTTCTTTGGTAGACTTCTGTTCACGTTTACATTGTAGTTCACATAGCTTTTTATTTTTTATTTGTTTATATCAATTTTATTGAGAAAGAAGCAGCAATGAGACACTTTTAAAACAGGTTAGTAAGACAGAATGGGTACAACCCCAGCTGCTGTGTGTCTGCCTAAGCAGACGCTTTAATCTGCTGAGCTATTTGGCCAGCTCTGGCCTAGTAGGTCTTTGTGATGCTGCCCCTGCCGGTTCACCTGTCAGTTCACCAATGTGATCCACAATTTTTTTCCATAGTTCCCTGGGCAGAAACATTTTGGTTTTCCTCTGCTGTAAATGATCTGAGTTCCAGTTGCAATCCTCTAAGAAAGTTTCTTTGTAATATTTCATACTTGTTATCTTCTTTGTGAATTAGCAAGCTATTTATATCACATATGTTTAGGATTAAGTAAAACACAACCACTGGCCAATGTCTTGTTTCAAGTGCCATCATGGTTGTTGTAAAACTTATTAAAAAAACATTTACTCCACCTTCAGCTTTTTTTTTTTTTTTTTTTTTTTTTTTTTTGTGGAAATGGGGATTGAATTCAGGCCCTTGCACTTACCAGGCAAGCACTTATTCTACTGAGCCATGTCCCTGGCCCCCTCCATCTTCAGTTTTAATGTTGGAAGTTTCCATCTCAGGCTTCTGTTTTGTCAAGATTTCTCTGTCAATATTTCCATTATAGTGCAATGTTGACATCAGCAATACTAGTTTGTTTTTATTTTTGTTTTTATTTGCCATAGATGAGGCCAATGTTATCTTTCTGAAATCCAAAGATTGTACCATACAATTGTGTTTTGAAATTGCAACATTCATTTGGAATTTTTGCTTTGTTCTTGGGTACAGTTCCTGTACTAGTCAACTTGTGCTCTGCTAGCAAATGTAACAATTGGAAACCGGTAAAACAATTGTTGAATGTTGCATTCCAATTAGTTTGGGAGACAGGAGTAGCAAATCTGTTCACAACATCATTTGCTTTATCACTATATGAATAAAGTCCATTAGGACTGGCCGAGTTCCAGAGGAAATGTCAAACCTAAAAGCATAATATGTCTTTGCATCTACAAGAAGATAAATTTTTATGTCATATCTTGACCCATCACTTTTTTGTAAGTCTTTAGCATTCCTGCGATTACCATAAGAACTAGGTACAGCAGACCTATGCGTGCTTTCAGTTCAGCTAGTGAGGTGTTGTAATAAATACATTTTTGAACATGGCTCTTAGTGCACACAGAACATTTGCTTTGCATTTCAGCCTTTGTGTATTTCGCAGCATCTTGTAGCATTTCATGTGACAATCCCCAACACTGAATGGCAGTGCTATCCAATATGTTTCACCACTGCCAAGATCTTCACTATATTTTCAGACCTAGTTCTGACATTGGATCATTCCATTTGGTTGTGTGGCCATTTTCTCAACCTTTTGACTAGTCAAATAGGTACTCAGATTGTTGCTATCTTCCTCATCTGGATCAAGGATGTCTGCATTCCCTGGGTCTGTGTCAGTCGATCCTTGCTCTATTTCACAGTCACAGGAACTTCAGCTTACGTGGCCAGTGTCCAGGCCATCATCAACAACATAATCATCATCATCCACTCACACCACTCTGTTGCGAAAGCACGTATTTTACTATAATGCATCATCGTTATCATCCCAGCATGAGTAATCTGATGATTCCTTTTTGGCCTCCTCCAAAACTTGCAAATATGGTTTTTCAGGTGTCGTTGTATCGAACTGGGCTATTTCTACCAAAAAATTCAAAAGATATACTTTTTCTTGAAGCAAATCTTGGAGTGGTGTGGGTCCACCAGACCCTCTGTGATGCTTGGGTAAACATACACAAAACCAGTCAGCTGGAACATAAATTTGGTGGAATTAAATGCTGTTATTCTACTTTTGCACACATGCACACTCCTGGCTGTTCATCAAACCAAGTGGGTAAACACAGAGATTGCTTTCTGTATCCCTCAGGAAAAGGTAGTGAGATGCACAGCCAGCAACTATACTGCTAAAGTACAAAATGTACAGTAGAAAAGTAAGGGATGGATCCAAGCTTATGCCCTTAGTTTAGTCCACCAGTTGAAAGATGGATCTTTGGGAGGTTTTTGTTTTTTGTTTTTTTTTTTGGTAGAACAGGGGATTGAACTCAGGTCCTTGTGCTTGCCAGGGAAGCGCTTATTTTACTGAGCCATTTCCCCCACCCCAAAGATGGATCTTTGGGCTGGGGATATAGTTCAGTGGCATAAGCGCCTGCCTGGCAAGTGCAAGGCCCTGAGTTCAATCTCCACAAAAAGAAAAAAAAAAGACGGATCTTTTTTCAGTTGCCTGATCTCTATGTGCAAGCTTCCTATTTCCACTTAAGAATGCAGATGGGGGCTGGAGAGATGGCTCAGTGGTCTAAAGCACCTACTTGAAACAAGCTTGGCAAAGCAGAGGGACCACGGTTCGATCCCCAGCACCACATGCCAGCCAGCCCCGCCCCCTGGTGGGCTGAGCTGGCCACACACACACACACACACACACACACACAATAAATAAATGTAATAAATATAAATAAATAAATATTAAAAAAAAAAAGAATGCAGATGATGAGATTGGGCATGGTGGCGCTCACCCATAATCCCAGATCTTGGGAAGCGGAAAACAGGAGGATCATTATGAGTCTGATCTACTTAGTGAGACCCTGTAGACCCTGTACCAAATAATTTTTTAAAAATGCAGATAAGCTGTGAGATAAATCACTTCAGCTGTCTTTCTATTCAACCAAGCTGATACACTTCTCAGACCTGACAGATGTGTCTTTGCCCAGAAGTTTACCCAACCACATACAGAGACACAAGGCCACACCTACTTTTTTTTTTTTTTTAACCTGCTTCAGGACTTTTTATCCTCAGCCAGCCTTCTGGGAAGTAGTAGAGGTATCCAAGATTGCAGGAACAGTTGAAAAAGACAGGGACACAAAATGGACCTCAGCTCAGGGATGATTTAGACCCTAGCTAAAGAATTATTCATGGAACAGATAGTATAGACTTCATTTGGATCTCAGTCTTAATAACTAATACAAAATGAGAAAATAGGAAAATCTAAATATTGCCTGGGTATTTAATATTATAGGGTATCTTTTTTTATATTTATTTATTCTATTTTTATTTATTACATTTATTTATTGTGTGTGTGTGTGTGTGTGTGTGTGTGTGTGTGTGGCCAGCTCAGCCCACCAGGGGGCAGGGCTGGCTGGCATGTGGTGCTGGAGGATCGAACTGCGGTCCCTGTGCTTTGCCAAGCTTGTTTCAAGTAGGTGCTTTAGACCACTGAGCCATCTCTCCAGCCCCTATAGGGTATCTTTTTAGAGATAATAATTATGCTTATGTTTCTGTTTTAGCTATCTTTCCAGCCCTTATGTTTCAAAAAGAGTTCTCAACTCTTACATAATGAAGTATTTACAAGTTAAATAATAGGATGTCAGGAATTTGCTTTAAAATGGATAAGAACAGAAAATTTAGGTAAAGATTTGGTTTTTCTTTTTCTTTTTTTGAATGTATTTGGTACAGGGTCTACAGGGTCTCACTACACAGATCAGACTCATAGTGATCCTCCTGTTTTCAACCTCCCAAACAATGGGATTACAAGCACGCACCACCACACCCTGCCCAGGGCCAGGGCCAGCTTGGCATGCCAGGGATCAAACCCCGGCCACTGTTCTCTGCCTAAGATTTGGGTTTATTTATTTATTTGCAGAACCAGGGTATTTGAGGTTCACTATATATTCTGTTTTGTGTATATTTGAAAGTTCCCATTTAATAAAAAAAAAAGGGATAAGAGAAAGAAAAACAGATGACTCAATAGGGATCCATGTATCAGGATCCCTAACAGTCGGCAGGGATCTGTCATTAACAAACTGAGTTGGCAAGCCTCCTAATGTCTTGGCTCACTGTCCCTTAAACTGTGGCTCTTGGCTGAGATTTCTTGGGGTGGAAATAAGTCCCAGGACTATGGACCTGTATACAAGGCAAAGGGCATTGAAAAGGACAAAGATCTCAACAGTCTGAGTGCTGCGAACTTTAATCTCAGCTCTGACACTTTATGTGACTCTGGACACTATCCTATCTGCCAATATATAGGTTTTTATTAGACAGGGTGTCACTGAATAGCCCAGGCTGACCTCAAACCCTCAGCCATCCTCCTGTCTCAGTCTCCAGAGCACAGTAATTACTTGCACACATCACCACCATACACGGCTGCCTTTATAAAAATGACATTTCTGTCTACTTGATGGGCATATTGAAAGATATAAAGGGTCTGGCACAGTGGATGATAATAAATATTAGTTTCTGTTTCAATTTCCCGATTGTGCCTAGGAGCAGTACTAGGAGAACCTGGCAACCTTCCACCCGGGTCATCCAAAAGCACAGTGGCCAGAGACCCAGGCGCCAGGTGTGCACACAGCGCCCTCGCGCGCCCAGCCTGGGAAGCGCCGCGGGAGTCGCCCCGCCCACCAGCCACAGCGCCTGCGCGAAGGAACCGCCCCCAAGTTTGTTGTCGCTCGCGTCCCAGACGCTGGCGGCCGCGGCGGGACCGGTCGCGGTGCCACCATGGCGGTGCGACAGACGCTGAGCCGCGGCCTGCACCTAGGCCGAGTGTTGCTGCTGCGCTTCACGGCCAAGCCCGGCGCAGCCTACCTCTGGGGGCGGCCTGGGCCGGCGGCAGGCTGGAGTCGTGGAGGGCGCCCGGGCCGGGCCGCGGTGCTCGGTGCAGTGTCCCGAGGACTCGGGCTCCGGCTGCCCGACCGCTACCGCTTCTTCCGCCAGTCGGTGGCCGGGCTGGCGGCGCGACTCCAGCGACAGTTCGTGGCGCGGGCCCGGGGCGGCGCGGGCCCCTGCGGCCGAGCGGTCTTTCTAGCCTTCGGGCTAGGGCTGGGCCTCATCGAGGAGAAGCAGGCGGAGAGCCGGCGGGCGGCCTCGGCTTGCCGCGACATCCAGGTGCGCGCGGGCGGGGGTGGGGCTAGGAGTGCGCGTGTCTGGAGGTGGGTGGAGCCAGGGGCAGGGCGGGGCTGGTGGGCCGCAGGCCCTGAGCCGGGGTTGGCTGGGCAGTGTTTGGGGGCGGGCCCTAAGGCAAGATGGGGCGGGACTAGTAGGCAGGCGGGGCAGAGGGCCCGAGTCAAGGGCGTTAGGGTAGTCCGGAACCTGAGATCTAGCGGATTGCGGGGGGCGGGGCAGACGGGCGGGACAGCCAGCCCCGGCAGGACTAAATGCGTGGGTCGTCCTCGGTTGGGAATTGGGAATGTCGTCCTGGACAGGAGCGCAGCTTTGAATTGGTGGTGGGTGTGGGTGGGTGGAAGGAGGTTAAGGTCCTTGAAAATAACCAACGGAGATTGACTTATTTTACCTTTAGCAGTGCTTTGGTATGAGACCAACAGCTCCTAGTTCCTTAACTGTTTCCTTTCCTCAAACAGCATGTTTTGGAAAATGTGCTGCTACTTACAGTGCTAGTAGCAAATGGCTTTGTGTACATTTTCTAAAAAGTTAATGACAGCTGTCATAACTTTGTTTTTTTTTTTTTCTTTTGTTTTGTGTCATAAGTAATCCCTAATTTGTGGAGGAGGGCATGTACAGAGAGGTGAACTGACTTGTTCAGAATCTCTTAATAAATGTGGTGCCCAAAATCTGTGCCCTTAACACTGATCCGGGCTGTCCAAGCTAGCCAAATACTTAGACAATGACTGCTGAAACTGCAATAGAAACTACCAGTGGCAAGAGAAAGCAAAAGCCCTAGCTTTTAAAAGACAAACAAAAACAAAAAAAACACCAAACTTGTAGCATTATCACTGGTGACTGGATGCATAGGGGTTCCTAGGCTTTTTAAATACTTAAAATAAATAGCTCAGAACCTCTGTATTTGCTCCACCAAAGTCCCAGAGTCAGGTTCACCAGACAGAACCAGTAGGGTGTGTATATTTAGAGAGAGGGATTTATTTTAGGAACTTGGCTGGCCATGGCCTGGCAAGTCTGGAGAGAAGGCCAGCAGGGCAGGCTGCACAAGGCTGTGGTGGCCAGAATTCCACCCTCTCCGAGAGGCCAGTTTTTGCCTGGAGCCACTCATTTCAGGAAGTTCAGTCCTGCACTTTACAGACAGGGTGGAAGGGGACAGGGTGTAGTGACACACTCTAGGACTCAGAGGGCTAAGGATCAAGAAGCCTTCGCGTTTCCTGGTTCCCACCGAGTTCTTGTTTCTCTTCAGCAGTCTCCTGTCTGAGCTCTTGCCATTTGGGGCTGACAGAGGAGGTCCACACGAGGGCCCAACCCCTGATCTTGCCTCTGGCCGCCGCTTAGGTAACAGAAACCAGGAATGGGAAATTTAACAAATCCTGCTTAAAACTAAGAAGGGTTTTTTCCCCTTTTTTGTAAGATTAACCCACCTAAGTTTACCCTGAACATGTGCTTTGTCCTCCTGTGTCATTAATTTTGCATTGAAAAATCAGGCATTTGACTGTTCTTAAACAAAATCACCAGATTTGATTATTCTGGCAGTACTAAAATTCCATGTCATGTCAGATTGAAATAAAATCATAGCTGTTCTCTACTCCTGGAAGGAGGCGTGTTTAAAAAGAAACAAACACAAGCAAAAAGAACAAATTCAGGGCTGGCCAAATAGCTCAGCAGATTAAAGCACCTGTTTAGACAGGCGTAGCAGCCGGGGTTTGATCCGTGTGCCATGCTGTCCCCACCCCCCAGGGCATGCTGAGATGGGATTGAGACTGGGTGTGGTGGCGTGTACCTGTAATCCCAGCTCTTGGGAGGCTGAATGCAGGTGGATCACTTTGAGTCTGGTCTATATAGTAAGACCCAGTAGACCCTATACTAAAAAAAAAAAAAACCAAGAAAAAGTTAAAAACAAAATTACTATATCCATAAATTCCACTTCTAAATTTTATTTATTTGGCACAGGGTCTCAGTAAGCAGCTTGGACTTATACTGATCCTCCTGTTTTAGCATCCCCAGTGCTGGGATTACAGGCATGCACCACCACGCCTGGTTTTAGTGGCTGGCTCCACCTCTGCACCTGGGGCTGGCACAACACATAGTACCAGGGATCAAACCCAGGTCCTTGTGATTGCCAGGCAGGTGCTTAGACCACTGATCTATCTCCCCAGCCCAGAAATTCCATTTCTGAGTGTACACCCAAAATAATCGACAGCGAGGACATCAACAGATATTTATATGGCCATGTTCATAACAGCTAAGTTAACAGTAGTCAGGAGATGAAAGCGGCTGTCTCAGTTACTCTTCTCTCATTGCTGGGACAAATCACCCAACACCCAAAATCAAGGAAAGGAAAGGTTTATTTAGCCCACCGTTAGTTGAGGTTTCAGTCCATAATCAGCTGGCTCCAAGTCAAAGCAGCACATGGCGGAGGGTAGCCCTTCAGGGCAGAGGAAAACAGTCAAGAGCAAAGGGGAGGAGTAAAGGCAGCAGAGAGCAAGTCTGTCTCCTGTATGCTGCATTCAGGCCATCCACGCCAGGCCAGGTGCAGCACTCACACCCATAATCCCAGCACTGGGTCATGAATTAATTACAAACTCTAGAATCTGCCCCATGACTTCATGAGGCTTGGGGGGGACATCTAGACACAAACCATAACAGTAGCCTTGGTGTCCATGATTGGAAAACAGGTAAACAAAGTGTTTATTTACATATAGTAGAATGTTGTTTTTTTAAATGTATTTAGTACAGGCTCTGCTGGGTCTCCCTATCTAGATTGAACTCATGCCGATCCTCCTGTTTTCAGCCTCTCAGGTGCTGGGATTACAGGCGTGCGCCACCACGCCCAGTCTCAGTTATGTCTCAGCAGCATGCCCCAGGGGCAGGGCTGCACGCCCCAGGGGTAGGGCTGGCATGGCAGTCGCTGCTCCCATCCCTGAGCCTGCCTAAGTAGGTGCTTTAATCCACTGAGCTATCTGGCTGGCCCTCAGAATATTCTAATACTTCCTTAAAAAGGAAGGAAATTCTGATATATACTGTGACCTAGGCAAACCTTGAGGACAAATTGTGTAAGACTCCACTCCTAAGAGGTTCCCAGACTAGGTTCAGAGACAGAAAGTGAACCAGCGGTTCCTGCCTGGCACAGTGCAGGGACCAGAGTTACCACTTCATCAGTAGAGTTCTGCAGAACGAGAGGGTCTGGGGTGGGTGGTGATGGCCACACACACATGGTTGTGCTCGATCCACTGAGCTGCCTACTTGAAGATGGCTGAAGGGTGTGGCCCTGTAGCGTCAAGGAGAAAGCGTGGCTTGGCTCGAGGCACAGAGCTTGCAGTCCATAGCCCCTCAGTCCCCTTGCTTCTGAGCTGCCGTGAGCTGGGTACAGCTAGTCCCTCCTGGCAGGCAGGAGGTGGGAGAGTCCTCAAGGGTGCGTTCCCCTCTTCCACTCCCGGTAGCCACTGCCACTTCTTAAATTTACCCCAGATTAGGAACCTCTCAATGGGTTAATCCACTGGTAAATCAGAGCTTTGTGACCCAGTCACCTTCTAGAAGCCATTGCCTAGGCATGAGCCCTTTGAGGAAATTTTAGATCCTAAACACAGCACATGGTACCTAGAAGTGGTGCTCCATGCCTGGAATCCCAGACTTGGGAGGGTTAGGCAGGAGGATCACCATGAGGTCAAGGCCACACCTTCTTGAGCAAAATCAGCCAGGAACAGGGACTATAGTTTGATCCCCACCACCACATGCCACACCAGACCGCCCTTAAGGCAGCCTGGGGGTGGGTGGGAGGGGCTGGGTTCAAGGGCAGCCTGAACCACATAGTAAGACCCTTTCTCAAAAAAAAAAAAAAGTTAAAAAACTGTATCTTATTCTCAAAATCATGGTTGATGTGGGATTGCTCTATAAATTTGCTTCTGCTCCATGAAGTTTAAAAAACTTTTGGCTGCCAAGTGTGATAGTGTATTTGGGAGGCTGAAGCACAAGGATTGCCACAAATTCAAGGACAAGCTAAAGGGGCCAGGGAGATGGCTCAGTAGAATAAGTGCTTCCCTGGCAAGCGCAAGGGTCTGAGTTCAATCCCCAGTTCCACCAAAAAAAAAAAAAAAAAAAAAAAAAAAAAAAAAAAAGGAGACAAGCTAGACTACATAGTGAGTTCAAGGCCAACCTGAACTACATAGCGGGACCCTGTCCCAAAAAACAAGCAAGACCAAAAAAAAAAAAAGTCCCTAACTTATTAGTAAGTTAGGAAGATAAGAAAGAGCAGTCTTTCTTTTTGAGACAAGGCCTTGCTGTGTGGTTGAAGCTGGGTTCAAACTCATGGCAGTCCTTCCTCAGCCTCCCAAGTGCTGGAATTACAGTTGTGTGCCACCACTCTTGGCTTAGACTTTCATTTTTATTAAAAAGTTCAGAATGGTAGTGTTAGGTATAGCCACTGAGTGCTTTAGGAATTTTCCAGGTGACCTGTGGCCTGGGTTGTCATGGTGGCCACTTGTACAGCAAGGAACTTGAGTTGGGTTTGATGGGTGCACAGAAAAGTACCAGGCAGAAAAAGACCAAGGACATAGGGGTGTGGGAGCTGGTGTGGTGGGAGCTGGAGTTCAGAGAGGAGTGGCTGAAAGCTAAGGACTGGCAGCATGCCCAGGACAAGGCTCAGTTGGACATGGGTTCCAGGTCCTCCCGCAAGATACCGGAAGCCATGGATGTTCAAGACCCTTAATAAAGATGGTGTAGCATTTGCATAGAACCTGCCCATATCCTCCTGGTTTGCAGGAGCCCAATATAATTAGAATACTCAATATAATGTAAATGTCACCCAGATGGTTATCCTAGTACACTGTTTATGGAATAATGATAGGAAAATATTCTATACATGTTCGACACAGTTGCAATTTTTTTCAAGTATTTCCCATCCACAGTTGCTGAATCCTAGATGCAGAGCCTGCAAGTATGGAGGGCTGACAGTACTGAGTAGCCTCATGATGGGGTTTGGGAATAGGAGAGCGGTACATGAAAGCAGTGTGAGGTGATCTGGCCAGGGGCGGTGCAGGGACCCTGTGATGGCAGAGGTGTCTAGTGGTGAGTGCCCTGTAGGCACTGCTGTGGTGGGTACCAAATGCCCTGACACTCGTGGGCAACTGATCATGTATTTGGAAAGGAGGAGGTCACCAGATCAGGCCATTGGAGGACAAAGGTGGAGCTTTGGTGATGAGAAATGACATCACCCCTGCCACCTGATGCGGGCCACAGCTCAGAGTCTGGGAGTGGGCTGTGTGTCCCAGCACCCACACCCCATCTGTTCCTGTCAGAACTCTCACACACATGCTCATTGCCTTTCCTACCAGTGCTGGCCAGGCAGCGTCCTCCAAGCGCCAGCCGGGAAGACAGCCCTCATTGACTCAGCTCATGGCTCCTCTTGATTTCACCCCTCCCTGCCAAGACCACCTGGCGTCCCTGTTGATCCCACAGCTGTGCTAGCCATTCCAGAGCTGTCAGACAGAGTCTTTGCAGAAAGCTGGCTCCGCAGTCAGGCAGCCCACAACTGCAGGGAGAGCATACCCACAGAGGCGGCTGCCAGGCCCCAGTGCTCACCTGCTTGCTGACTTGTCTGGTATACTCTGATCACCATGCAGCCTGGAGTGGGAGAGAGATTATTCCAAACAGAGATGAGACAGGGCTGGCGTGGGCAGTCCAACCCAGCGTGGGTGTTGTGACTGGCTCTCAGTCCTACCCAGCCTCACTGTACCTCTCTCCTCTGTTTGCCTTTACCTGGAGTTCCCTGGCTCATGGTAGGTCTTGGTTTCCTCATAGACAATTTTTACCCAGAAAAGCAAGCCAGTTCCTGACCCACTGGACACACGACGCTGGCAGGGCTTCCGGCTGGAGGACTATCTGATAGGACAGTCCCTCGGCAAGGGGTGCAGCGCTGCCGTGTATGAAGCCACCACACCCGCATTGCCCCAGCACCTGAAAAAGACAGAGAGCACCAGGCTGCTGCCAGGAAGAGGCCCAGATGTCATCCCACAAGGAGAGCAGGAGCAGGCTCCAGAGGCCCCTGCCTTTCCCCTTGCCATCAAGATGATGTGGAACATCTCGGTAAGCACCGGAGCTGTCTTCGTTCAAGTGTGTATTTCTCCAAATGCTCAGCTAAGTGGACCTGGTGGAGTCTTTTTCCTTGAGGTTGGCAGGAAAGGACCCAGGTTCTCTAGAGAAAGGGTGCTGTGATTAGGCTTCCTTGCTCAGTTACATGCGATTCTGAAGCTGCATGTCTCAAATTATGGCCACAGCTCACCTAGGGATCAGGCAGATTTGGATTGGGCAGGTCAGGCATGGGTGGAGCCTGAAAGTATGGATTCTGTTCACCAAATTCTCAGTCATGCCAGGCCCACTGGTCTGTGACCCACACTCTGAGGAGCCAGTGTCTAAAGTTCTAACCTGACTGTCAGTCATACAGCCATCTTCTCCTCCCTTGCCCTCCTCCCATGACCTGCCTCCCTGGAGAAGACGCGCCAGGCCAGGCTGCTGTCCTCTGAGCGCCCCCTCCCCATCAAAAGCTTTGTCACCTCCCTGTTGTCAGCTCTTGGAAGGGCTAAAGGCTTTGGGGCGTTGAAGAGCATTCCACCCCCTGAAAAAAACAAAACAGATTTCTGTTTGACGTCTTTACCTTGCCATTGCAAGGTAAAGAAGGTTCAGAACATTCATCAGGACTCAGTGTTTTTCTCCTGCTCAAAGCATTGTTTTGAAGCTAAAGCAGACAAAGCCATGGCAGCTCCTGCTGGACACCGGTGTAGTTTCTTTTCTTCTTTCTTGGCTTTTTGAGACAGTGATTTGCTATGGGGTTCAGGCTGGCCTTGAGCTCACTTTGTAGCCCAGGCTGGCCTTGAATTCACAGCAATCCTCCTGCCTCAGCCTCCTGAGTGCTGGATTACAGGCATGCACCCCCATGCCCACCCACCCGGACAATTTCTTGTTTTGATTTGAGGTGCGAAGGTAATTAGACTGCTGCACTCCAGGCTGGGTAAATCGCTAACACATCGCCAAATCCTTAGTCTCTGAAAAGTCACACTTAGCTTCAGGCTTCCCGTGGCAGATGTTGTAACCACCAAAGGGAAGGACTGGTGATTATTACAGGATCTTCTTGGGCGTATCAGCCTTCATAGGTCCTGGGGGCTGTTCATAATGCAGTGAGGACAATCAGGTGCTCATCCTCCTGTGGCTTTCTGTTTGTTGGGGCATGGGAGGGCTGCTCTGTGGTCCTGCACAGCTTGATCCAGTGGCGTTTGTCAGCCTCCACCTGTCTGCAGGATGACCCGGTGGTGGTGGGCATGGACACCCCTGACAGCAAGAGGCGCCCTGTGCTCTGACCACTGTGGCTGTCCTCGTGCCCCAGGCACCTGGGCACCGAGTCTGAGGTGCAGGAAGCATCCTCCAAGTTGCCACAGAGAGCAGCCCACCTCTATCTCCAAGGAGGAATTGGTTCTAGCTTAATCCTTCTGAGAGGTTCTCTAATCTTGAAGATCAAAGCCAATTCTGGGCAGCATCTGCCTGGTCCAGATCACAAGCAGGGCTTGGAACTTGCCTTCACCTGTGTAACCCTGGCTGTGTCATGACTGTGTTCCAGGCGGGCTCTTCCAGCGAAGCCATCTTCAGCAAGATGAGCCAGGAGCTGGTCCCAGCTAGCCGAGTGGCCTTGGCTGGGGAGTATGGAGCAGTCGCATACAGGTAGGTGTTAGTAAGAATAAGGGCCTTTGAGAGCAAAGTCAGGGGCCGGGGAGATAGTTCAGCAGAATAAGGCGCAGGGCCTGTGTTCAATCCCCAGTTCCACCAAAAAAAAAAAAAAGAAAAGAGAGAGAGCAAAGTCATCCCGTGTCCCCAGCACTCGGCACAGTGCCTGGCCAGCCACACAGCAGATACATGCTTACTGCACACTGGTGTTGTGAATCGGTTTGTGGACAGTTGATCTCAGGAAAGACTGGCAGTCATCTGACCCAGACTAGCGAGGCAGACTGCTAATTCACACAGGGGAGAGGACAGGTGTTACCCAGTTCACAGTGCTAGAAAATAGACGTCTCTGATTTTTATGAAGCAGCGTACAGGTCCAGTGTCACCTGGTGGTACAAATCAGCCCTGTCCACATGGGAAGGAGCACTCCACTGAGACCTGCAGCACCCGCAGACTTGTATAAAAGGCAAAAATGGTCCCTTCCCCCCAAATGTGGCAGCAGAGCCCTGCAGGTGTGGGGCAGAGAGCCCGGGGCACAGGTGCTGGAGTTCAGAGCTCAGGTGCAGCAGGAGCCCAGAAGAGCAGGGGCCCTCAAGGCTGCCCCTCAGGAAGCACAGAACTGCCTCTGGCAGGAGCAGCAGCCCTTGCAGACATGAGGACAAGGAGGTGCCTGCAGCAGAGTGAGGAGCTCGCACATGGCAGCTGCACCACAGCTCACAGTCTAGGCAGCGATGCCTAACACTGGGGGACAGAGGAGACACTTGTGCTCCTCGTAACATTTGAACCCCATGGTGGAGGGGTGCTGCAATTGTGGTGATTTCCTGGAGGATTTCTAGATCTTAGCTCTGTGAAAAGCAGCAAGACGGAATTAAAAACTGAATGAGCCCATGTAGAGACCCTCCTATCCCGAGAGGCTGCAGGGGGATTGAGTCTGCAGGCAGCAGCTGCGGAAGTGGCTTAGAATTTTTTCTCTTTAGTACAGGGTCTCACTACACAGATCAGACTCAGTGATTGATCCTCCTGTTTTTCAGCTTCCCAGGCACTGGGACTACAGGTTTGCACCACCACACCCAGTCTCAATCTGAGTCCCAGCGCGCCTCGTGGGCAGGGCCATCACAGCACATCAGGGATCAAACCCCGGTCCCTGCATCTGCCTAAGCAAGTGCTTTAATCCACTGAGCTATCCAGCCAGCCCTTAGGTGGCTTAGAATTGTCCTTGTGCCCTGAAGTCTATAATGAAAAGCACGTACCTGAGCGCCACCTGCTAGGACACAGAGTAACTAGAGATGGCTCCTTTGGCACTGGCAGCATGGGCCTCCTATCTGAAATAGTCCCTGTTCCTCATCCTGGCATTCACTTGCTTACCCTAGTTCTGTCAGTGCCTGCTGAGGGGACTGGGCAGCCAGAGTGGATCTCGGGAGACACCATCCCTGAGACTGCTATAGCCCTGCCTAGCTTTTGCTCAGCGAGGGGCTGGGATTCAGAGCCCCTGTGATCTGATCCCCACCCTGCCTTTTCTACCTCATTCTTGTGCTTCCTCTCCTGTATGCTGCCCTCTGCATACAGAATTCCACAGCACCTTCCCCCAAGGGCCAGGCTGCTCCTGGCAGCCTCCTGAGTGTACACTCTGCTGTACGTGGGTCCTGTGCCCACCCCCATGCTGCAGGTCTCCATCAGACAGCCCACCCCTCTACAGCACAGCCTCATCTCTGCCTCCAAGCTCCTATGACATCTGCCAGGCCAGCCAGCCTTGCTGAAGTTCTGATCCTCCCTCTAGCCCAGTAGTAGGAACCATGCTGCATGAAGCAGGAGCCCACTAGGGTGATGCAGGAGAGGTACAAGAGCGCGTGTGGACTGGGCCCGCAAAGCTCAAGTCAGGATAGTGTCTTGCTTTCAGTGTCATCTGGCCTCACCTCTGGGCCCTGCTGTGTTCTCTGTCCTCCATCAGCATCCTTATTTTCTCCCCCTGTGGTTGGTTGTTGCTGTGGACCTTTGGCTCGCACCCTCTGACTTTCTGTGGCCCACTGGAGTCCTAGGATGTTTCCAGTGTTAGCTCCATTGCTTCTTCACACTCCCAAATGTGCCTATAGGCACATTGCCCTTGATGCAGGTACCCACCCTTGGCCCACAGCTTTGGTTGAGAGGCTAGCACACAACCCTCAGAGCCACACTGCAAAATACAGCCAGAGTGCCTCAGTGGCTTTGTGGGCATGGGGCTTCCTGGAGGACAAAATGGGTAGCTGATATCACAGCTACTAACTACATGTGTTCATTTCTGCATTCAGCAGATGCTGGAACCATGGAGACAATTTAAGCAGGATCCCTGTCCTTAACTCCTTACTCACTAAATGGCCCTCTCCTATTAGATCACAAACCCCTGAGGACAGGACTCTAGCCTGTTGTGCCCTGCTGCAAAGCATGCTAGCACAGTGGCCAGTGTGGTAACAGTAGTTGTCAATTGAGTCAGTAGTGGTGACAACCAACATTCGCTGAGTGCTTATGCTGCTAACCATGAGTCTAGGCACTTGAAGTGTATTATCTGCCTTATGCAGTGTGCCCCTGCCTCAGCCCTTCAGCACTTGGCACTGAGCCAGAGATGAGTGACTTGGCCAGGAGTCACAGTGGCCAACCTGGAATTCAAAGTCAGGCTGATTCAGAGCCCCCTGACTGCTGTGTTCTGCCAGATGGATGGATGGATGGATGGATGGATGGATGGATGGATGGATGGATGGGAGGGTGGGTAGGTGGATGGATGGATGGATGGATGGATGGATGGATGGATGGATGGATGGATGGGAGGATGGATGGGAGGATGGGTAGATGGACGGGTAGATGGACGGATGGATGGATAGATGGGTAGGTGGGTAGGTGGGTGGGAGGATGGATGGATGGATGGATGGATGGATGGATGGATGGATGGATGGATGAATGAATGAATATGCTGGAATGATGGATGGGTGGATGGGCAGGCAGATAGGCTAAAGATGGAGTAGGGGCATCGTCACTGTGGAGTCTCCTCAGTAAGTATTTTGTTTGTTTTATAGAGAGTACAAAATATTAAAACAGAAAACTTAGTGATACAGAATTTCACTTAACAATACAAATCTCACAACACCACATATAATACCCAGAACATAGCAAACCTACTGTAAATATTTAGCAACTAAATGAGTGCAGTTATTTGTTGTGGCCATGGATCTTTTTCTTTTCCACTTGGTGTCTCTGATGCTAGCCTCCTACATTTGTCCTATTTGACTAACCAGAAAATCCAAAGGAGGTCCCAAGCAGCTTGTCCCGCACCCCAACATCATCCGAGTTTTCCGCGCCTTCACCTCCTCAGTGCCTCTGCTGCCGGGGGCCCTCACTGACTACCCAGATGTGCTGCCCCCTCGTCTCCATCCCGAAGGCCTGGGCCATGGACGCACGCTATTCCTTGTTATGAAGAAGTAAGTGGTAGGGGCATGGCAGGACCTGGGAGCTGCCTTGCCTTCCCAGGGGGAGCTCTCCTGTTCTTGGGGTGCTTCTCTGGCTTCAGAGAACAGAGCTAGGCAGCAGGTGTGCACTGCTCCAAATAGCACTTCCCTTGGGTGGATTCAACCCCTCCTGGAACCCCAGTGCTTTGCATACGCTGCCGACTCACCTTGCTCCTTGCCTAGTCCCCTTGCTCCTTCCTCACCCCTGGAGCCACCAATCCCTGCTGCACTGGGGGTTTAAGGAAAGAGGTGCCTGTGCAGTTATGTTGAACCTCTAGAGTGTCAACTCTGACTCCAGACTTTGTGCTGGTGGGTGGGCAGCAGCAGGAAGGATATGTAGGAGAAAAGAAACCCATGAGCCACAGGAAGATGCAGAGGAAAAGATAAGATGCTAGCGAGCGGGCTGTGTTAGCGAGAGGTCCTGTCCCCTCCCAGCTACCCCTGCACCCTGCGCCAGTATCTTCAAGTGAGCACTCCAAGCCCCCACCTGGCCACCGTGATGACCCTGCAGCTGTTGGAAGGTGTGGACCATCTGGTTCAGCAGGGCATTGCACACAGAGACCTCAAGTCCGACAACATCCTTGTGGACCTGGATGCAGGTAGGCACCTGCACCCCTCACAGCTCAGAGTGCAGAGAGCAGGTCTGGGCTTTTATGCTGTCCTAAATCATCGTGCCTTCCTTTAGCTCTGTACATAAGTGTTCCCCCCCTTCCCCACTCTCCTCTGGGGGTTTAGGCGACAGCACTGTAACAGTTCCTAAGTTCTCTGTTGCCTAGTTACAGATGAAGAGCCTTGGAGATGCAGTGGTTTTTTTCTTAATAAAAAGAGGTAGACTTTAGCTTAATGGGGAAAACAATTTTCAAAGAGTGAAAGCCATTCAAATGCTGCTTCTGCAAATAATGACTTCCCCATTGCTGGACACAGGCACGCAGAGGCCACCGCCTGGGAATGTTGTACTATTGGATTTTTTTTTTTTTTTTTTGAGAGGATCTTTCTCTGTAGTTGAGCTCACCCTGAACACTCTATATAGTCTAGGCTGGCCTCAAACTCAGCAATGTTCGATTTATTGAGGTTTTAAATTCCAATCTAAGACTGCTGGAGTGCAAGTGCCCCTTAGAGATGATCTGAACCAAACACCAGCTCCTTTGGTTTTGTTTTCTGTTTTTTTCTTCCCTGTATTTAGGACAGGGTTTACAGGGTGTACAGGAAATCACTACGCGGTAGATCGGACTCATAGTGATCCTCCTACCTTCAGCCTCCTAAGTGCTAGGATTAAAGGTGTGCGCCAGCACGGCACGGCACGGCACGGCACGGCACGGCACGCCGCCGGGGATTGAACCCAGCCGCCTGGGATCAAACTCAGCTGCTATGCTCTGCCTAAGCAGGCGCTTTAGTCCCCTGAGCTATCAGGCTGGCCCTTAGTTCCTTTCATCTTGGGACAGCTGGTTACTAGAAAATTACCTACGTGGAGGCAAAGCTTTTTATCTACTTATTTGCCCAAGGAGTTGGTGGCCTTTTCTTCCCGAGGCACTTCCTTGTCACTGGCCCTCCCAGTCTGCTCTCTAGCAAGCCCACTCTGGACTAGGTCTTGCTGGCCTGCGCTCCTGGATCGGCACCGTCCCTGTGAGCCCAGCTCCCCCCGGACCTCGTGGTAGTTTCCGTAGGGAACTGGGTAGCCTGCCAGAGGGGAGGAGGAGGAGGAGACTGTTCTTACCTCTGCCCCCCACTTTGCAGGTGGCTGCCCCTGGCTGGTGATCTCCGATTTTGGCTGCTGCCTGGCTGATGAGAGCATTGGCCTACAGTTACCTTTCACCAGCTGGTATGTGGATCTCGGCGGGAACCGCAGCCTGATGGCGCCTGAGGTGAGTCCCCCTGCGCATGCTCACCACCATTAGAAACACCCGCACAGTATCACAGCACGAAGGAACTGACATGAGGCTTCTTCCCTGCCACTGCTTTAACCTGGGTCTCTGGGATGTTCCAGATGTGAGTTTTGAGACAGCCTCAGCAGGTCCTTCTGTTTCTGAGTCCTCTGGCCCAGGTGACACGCAAAAGCATAAACCTTAGATTTGCCAGCGTGTGAGTCTCACCCTCTGCTTCCCGAGCAGGTGTCCACGGCCTGCCCTGGCCCCAGAGTAATGATTGACTACAGCAAAGCTGACGTCTGGGCAGTAGGAACAATCGCCTACGAAATCTTCGGGCTCGCCAATCCCTTTTATGGCCAGGGCGGTGCCCACCTGGAAAGCCGCAGTTACCGAGAAGCTCAGCTGCCCACTATGCCCGAGTCTGTGCCGCTAGATGTGAGACAGCTGGTGAGGTCACTGCTCCAGCGGGAGGCCAGCAAGGTGAGGCTGCTCCCAGGCTTCGAGGGGACTGTGAGCATGGGAGATTTCACTCTGTTTACATCCAAGAGTGAAGGTCAGGTTTGGGCAAGTGCTACAGTGGGAGATGGAGCCTGTGTCCTGCACAGGGCAAGACCAGCTACAGGAGACAATGGAGTAGATGGGAGTGTAAACAGAAGCCTATCAGGTACCCTTCTGTTGGCCGAGACAAAATACCTGACATATGGTTTTAAGGAGAAAAGGTTTAGTTAGGCTTATGGTTTCCAAGATTTCAGCCCATGGTCAGCTGGATCTACAGTGGCAGACCATGGCAGAAGGGCACAGCCCATGGCAGCAGCTAGCAGAGTTGGACAGAGCCGGGGAAGGGAAAAAGGAGATGTCCTTCAAAGGGCTGCCCACAGCCTCCAGAGGCCCCGCCTGCTAACAGCATGTTCAGCTGTGTGCTAGGAAGTGGGTTCATCTGCCAGTAGGTCAGCATCTCAGTGCCTGAGTCTCAGGAAATATCCGGATATCAGCCACAGCATGGGAGCAAGGGGACGAGGCCACCACTAGTCGGAATTCTAACAATCCCGCTTCTTGGGTTTGCCAGTTGCTTATGAAGTTACTGGGAGGAAGCCGGGGCAGAGGGGGCACACACCTGTAATCCCAGCTCTCTGGGGGTTACTGTGAGTCTGAGACCAGCCTGGGCTACAAAATGAGCTCAAGGCCAGCCTGAACTGCACAGTGAGACCCCATCTCAAAAAGACAACAAAAGCTATAAAGAGGGAAAAGGATGCATTTTTGAGGTATTTTTACTAGTGACGCAGCCTACAGAAAGGGCTGCGATCTAATTAGGTAGCAGAACATCTCCAGAGAGCAGGCTGGCCACCGTGACATTAACATAAAGGCAAGTCTGTGAAGACGTAATTGCAGTACATACGGGCTACATGCTGCTGAGCAGTAAGAGCCAAGGCAGGCCTGGCCTCAAACTGCTGTCCTGCCACTTACAGTGTCCCCTCACTGCACACGGCCTGCTGCTGGGTCACAGCGGCTGCTCAGGGGAGGCCTGTAGAGCAGCAGCTACACCCAGGTAGGCAGTGATGACAGAATGGTCCTCGCCCGGCAAGGACCAGCCTGACCGTACACACGAGGCACATGGCCTTCCCACTGTGGGCAGCACTGCAACCGTGCTTCTGCCCCTACACAGCGACACATCTGGAAAAGCCCAAAGCCACAGGGAGCAGCAAGTATTGGTCAGCTGAGCGAGGGTGTCGGGAGGGCAGGGAGCGGAAGAGCTGGGCTAGGAAAGCCCTGAGGATGGTGCACACAAGATAGGTGTGGGCTGGATGCTTGTGCAGCTGTCCTAAGCTGCAGCTTCCCTTCCTGTTGCAGAGACCATCTGCCCGTGTGGCTGCCAATGTGCTTCATTTAAGCCTCTGGGGTGAAGATATTCTAGCCCTGAAGCATCTGAAATTAGACAAGATGATCGCCTGGCTCCTCCAGCAGTCAGCTGCCACCTTGCTGGCTGAGAGGCTAACAGAGAAGAGCTTGGTGGAAACGAAGCTGAAAATGCTGTTCCTGGCTAACCTCGAATGTGAGGCGCTCTGCCAGGCGGCCCTCCTCCTCTGCTCGTGGCGGGCAGCTCCGTGACAAGTGCCCACCTGGCCCGTTACTAAATGACTTGGCAGTGTCTGTGCTGGTGGTGTGTGAGTGGCAAGGGAGGGGCCCAGTGGGAGGTGCAAGTCAGGAGAAGCTCGTGTGGGGCTGGTCAGCCAGAGAAGGCCTTGGGGTTGGCACATGGGAGGAACTGAGTCAAGAGTTTAGTCTAGTCATGGACTCCAGCTGTGCAGTGTCCCATCAGCTGTGTGGACCTGGGCTGTCCTTCTGTCAAAGCAAGGGATGGTCCAACCAGGGCACTGGCAAGTCCTGGGGCTGGCCCCAGTGTGCGCTAAGTTGCTATAACTACTTGGCCCTGTCAATGAAGCACAGGACTATGTAAATAAATGAGAATGGGTGTATGCCAGCAAAGCTTCATTTATGGGCCCTCAAGTTTCATTGTCATGTATCTCCCAAATTCTTTTTTTTTTTTTTTATTCCACTGAGCCATCTCCCCGGCCCATAAATTCATTTCTTATAACCCTAAAGAAACATAAAAACATTTACCTTGTACCTGGTGGCCACCAGTCTGTTAAGCTGACAAGGCCTAACTAGAAAACATAATGCTGACTGGTCACAAGGGCTCTTAGTGCTAAAAATAGCCCAAGGGTGAGAAGTTACACTGGGCACTGCCGCTGACCAGAAAGCCCCACCTTAAAACCCAGGTCCAGGGGCTAGGGAGATGGCTCAGTGGAATAAGCGCTTCCCTGGCAAGCACAAAGGCCTGAGTTCAATCCCCAGTTCCGAAGGGAAAAAAAACCCAGGTCTGTCCTCAGAGCTCCCTGAGCGAACGGCCAGCTCATGTGTTAGAGGACCTAAGCCAAGGCAGTGGCTGTGGGTGGTGGAGTTTATAACGTTGCCTCTCGCATCAGGCCTGAATGGGCTTTGGCTGGTCTGAAAGAGTGGCCGAGGGGCCGTCGGCACGTGCCTCCCAGGCTGTGTAGACCTTGTGCAGGTCAGCACATTCAGGGATTGGCTGAAAAATGGGCGAAGGCCCCGGTGGTGGCAAGCTAATGGGTGTGCCCGAGAAAGTATCCATGTGCTGCTGAGGAATTAGCCCGGTTCAGTCAAAATGGTGGATAGGAACTGAGTGTACCACTCCAAACTCACTGACTTTGGACTAATATTTCTTAAAAGAGTTCTTAAAAAAATTGTGAGATGTCAAAGCAGGCTTACAATGCAGAAGACATATGTGCTGAACTATAAATACTTGGCTGAGTGGTCCTTATGCCCTGAAGATAAACTTCACAGGCACGTCAATATGGAGGAAGAGATTTCAGGTGCAGCTTTACAAGTGCTCTTTCAGAACACTGCTATCACCTAAAGCAAGGTAAACTTAACCTTCGGGTTCTCTACTTCTGTGTGCCCACAGCGGTCATTCCAGATTTCCCAGCTCAGTGCTCCCCACTTCCCCTCAGTAAGTCACACCTTCACTTTAGGTGTGCTGTCATTTCAGCTACGCAGCCCAACTTGGGGCACAAGCAAAAGTAGCCACATCTGGCATGAGGCACTGCTGAACAGCAGCCCATGGCAGCAGAGCAAGGCAGGGTCCAGCTGAGGTGTGAGGGCAACGTTTATTTTAGAAATGAGAGCGACTGTACTTAGGAAAAACGTCACGTAGCAATTCATGGTGGAAAAACTTACATCAAACTGATTCCCTGCCCCCACCCCCTTGGTACTCAAGGCTGCATCTGTTGCTGAGGTAAGGCTAGGCCATTTTCCCATGGCTTTAATAAAAAACCCGAACCCACGCTCCCCGTAAACACCCCTCAGTCTGACTTCTCCTTCTCCTTCATGTGTAAGAAGACGATGCTGAAGATGAAGAGCCCCACCATCATGGAGAAGGCGCTGGTGTAGTAGGGGTAGGCCGAGGGAATGAAGCGCTCGTACTGCGTGTGCTGCAGCGGCCTCACGGACACCTGCAACAGGACGGGGGCAGCAGATGCAGCCACCAGGGGACCTGAGCAGGGCCCCGCCCACTGAGTGCAGGGTCGGCCCCGCTCACCTGCGTGGACGAGTACAGGTGTGTGTAGCCAAGCCGGTTGTAATCCACTTTGAACTGGAAGACTCCATACACGTCGGGCAGTTTGAACTGGACGCTGTACTTGCCCCCTGGGGAAGCAGCAACAGACATTACGGTGGGCCTTCCAGGCACCTCAGCCAGGCCGGGGAGCCGGTGCTCTGGCAGCACTCACACTGACCTTTCTTCTTCAAGAAGGTCCGCACGAAAGGATCGATGCGGACAAACTCCAGCTGAATGTCGTCACCATCAAAGGGCACCCACCTGCCGCTGGAGAGCTGCTCGATCACGATGCTGTACTCCTGAGGCAAAACGCGGCGTCAGCCGGGAGGGAGCAGGGGGGCGGCAGTGGGTGCAGGGGCACCATGGCACCCCGAATCACCACCCCGCTGAGCGGCAAAGCCTCTGCTGCCCTCAAGCCTCAGCACCACCACCCACAGTGCCCAGCAGGGCTGGGGGTACCTCTGCCTCACTGCCCAGAGCCCTCTGCATTCCCAAACATGCCAGGCACTGTCGATCAGGTTTTTAGATTCCCTGCTGCTTTGCATGACAAATTCATCTTCAAGACCAGCTGAAATGTTACCTCTCATAAACCCCACTTCCTGGGCAGACTTAAGCAGCACCATCTGCTCAAGTTAAGCACCTAGAACACCATCATGACACACAGCTTTTCAAAGAATCTCCTGTCAGGGTGGCAGTGTAGTGCCAGGCCCCACATCTCAGATGACCTGCTCTGGGATGCAGGTAAGCTCCTGCATCCTTCCTTACTCTCCTTCCCGTCTCTCGCTGGCCTGGCCTGGCCTAAAATGTTTGCTAAATGGGTTCCGGGCTGAAGTGATTCAACTTGGTGAAAGCCTTGGGGCCCTCCCCGCCCAAGAGCTCTTACCACTAGGTCAGTGACTGTGTAGGCATTGGGTGGGGCTGTCTCACCCACTCGATGATGGGACACGGGCCCCACACGAAGGACACCCTCCTCCTTGAACACCCAGCGAGAGAGGGCCACAGCTAGCTCATAGTTGCCCGTCTGGGGATACCTGCAGGAGGGAAAAGGCAGGGCTAGGGGAGTGCCTGACTCAGGCAGTGGGTAAGTGAGCTCCGCAGCAGGCTTGGGCATCTGGGGGCAGGGTCTGTGGTTAAAGGGAACACAAACCACCAAGATGTGGATGGTGGTATTCTGCATACAAGTTATAATTTTCTAAAAGGAGTGAAGGCTGGAGGTCTCTAGATCTGTCACTGCCACCTTGGTGAGGCTGGAGTGCCAACACCAGCTATAATCACCTCCAATAATCTGAAAGTCCCAGAAGGCATGCAGCTTCTCACACTTGCAGCTGAAAAGCTTTCTTCTGCCCACGCACACAGACCACACCTCCCAGGCCACACACCGGAGCCCCACCCCCCACCCCATGCCCACCGCTGGGCGCCAGGTGTGGCCTTCTGCACCGCTGAGTTGAAGAAGGCATCACTGAAGAAGTCCAGGGAGCCGCTGAAGATTACCCGGGCGTTGTTCCTGGCCTGGAGCCCGGCAATGAGGAGGGTGTTCTTCCCCACGGCATGGGGATACTGGAACAGAGGAGAGGGGTCACCTGGGCAGTGGCAAGACAGGAAGCCAGCAGAGCAAGGAGACAGCAGGCAGTACATCACCCAGGAAGGAACCAGATGGTGCTGCTGCTGCCCACGTGCCACTCCTAGCAACCAGCGGTCCACCAGCCTCAGCAGAGTGCTCCTCTTTGTTCTTATTTTCATATAAGAAAGCGCTTTGCCACTGGGCCTCCGAACCAGAGGCTCAAGGCGCCAAAGGCCCTTACCTGGGTGATGGGTTTATCTGGGAAGAAGGAGTAAGAGGTGGACGAGCCCGTCAGGATGTCTAGTACCAAGGGATTGTCAGGATCGGCCACCATCCTGCAAGAGGAGAGAGCAGCCCAGGGGCTGAGCCTGAAGGATGTGGGGTCCCTGCGGGCCATTTCCCAGGGATAAATCCTCCTTTCTTAATAGCCAACACTTAGCTCTCTTGTTGTAACAAATTAACCCCACCCAGCTCCTCTGGGGGAAGGAATGCCCCCAAATAACCCCTACTTTGGCTTAGTGGCCCCTTCCTCCCCCTAGTTTCTGCTGGACTCCCTGCTGACTCACCCAACTCCTCGGAAGAGGATCGGATTTAGAGCTGATTTCCCAACAATAGTTGGGGCCTTCAGCAGGTTCTCAGTGTCAGCCACGATGAGCGTATGCTGCAGGAAGCAGATTGAAACAGCAGGGCTGGAAAGAGGTTCCCTGGGCCAAAAAGTCCTCCCTCTGGGACTCTAGGCTAAGCTGGCTTTACTGTACATGCCCAAAACCCTGAAGGTGACAGGCCTCATTACCTGGCCAAGGTCTGAGACATCATAGTTATGGTGGTCAATGACAGCTGTTCTCTCCTCATCGAACTCGATCCCACATTCACTGCCCAGCTCTCGAAGAGGGTCACCTGCACAGGCCCAGAAGATGCCTACCTGAGCCCTTTCAGGCAGGCCAGGCGGAGCAGGGCCACGACTCCCTTGTGGCTCCCTTGCTAGTAATCAACTCCAATGCCCTGCAGCTTCATCAGCCTCAGACTCTGAACTGATGAAACAACAGCCCGGCCCTCTCCCTCCACAGCACGATCACCTGGTGCAGCACAGCCCCTCTGAAGAGAGGTGGTACCACCTCAGCCCAGCCCAGCCTGCTGAGCCTGGGCTTCCCAGGTGAGCCAGTCCATTGCAAAGAAGGTGGCATTAACATCTGTTCTGAGAAACATGAAACCAGTCTGCCAGTTGTTTGCTGCTAAGCTGCATGATCAGCACATGCGGCTAAGGACGCAGAGCCCTACCTACTGCTGGGTATCTCTGAAATGTTCCGAAAATACAAAACAACAATCTCAAATGCTGTGGGTTTCCCGGACTTGCCATTCTTCTGGAAGGGAAGAGTGAACAAAACAAAACAAAACAAAACAAAACAAAACAAAACAAAACAAAACAATGAAAAAGCCCAGCCCTTCAAAGACCCATATCTTGTCTCTGGTACGGGAAAGCACAGGTGTCCCGGGGCCGAGTGCCAACTTGCCCAGCAGCTCCCTCACTGACTTCCTGGCCATGACCCACACAGCGAATGCCAGTTTGGCAGCTTCCATTTGTACAAAGCTCTCCGAGCTCCCTGGGGCAAACGGCAGCAAGCACCAGGACTTCCGAGGCCAGACCTACCGATGTCTGAGCTGGCAGCCACCAGGACGCTGCCTCCTCCGTCAATAAAGGCACTGATGGTCTCCACGTTGATGTTGCCTCCAAAATCTGAAAGAAGGCACCAGACAGGTAAGCAGAAGGTAGCCTCTCACTG